GGGCCTATTCAGTAATATCCATTTTTGTATTATTGTAACCGTTTTTCAGCTACGAGAATTACACATTCATTATGAATCATATATCCTTATTGATGATTTCGAGGTCATGATATATATATATATATATATATATGTGTGTATATATATAATGTGTATGATCAATGATGACATTAAAGTGTGTCTGAAGATGAGGTATGGCGGGTCAGTGGTGTGTCAATGAAAAAACATACATTTATTTTCTGACATTAATAACTCATAAAATCAACACAATTACTTTGTAACCATGGAGGCCCCTCCATGCTAATTATTTTTATGCTACACTCGGTGACGGGGTGATATTTTACCGTTGATCTACACACACTATTTCGGATGTGAGTGTATTTATGTGTATATAAATGGTAAAAATATATCCAGTGTATTTCACCCGACCGGTATAGCATAGAATAGACCGACTACGACCTATCTTCCACACTCCAACCATATAGGGAATTTAATCCCCATCCCCCCCCCACACACACACACACACATATATATACATATAGTTTGAGTAATTGTTTACCTGCAGATATGATGTGTCACTTGGAATAAATACGGTGGGAGCTAAAAATGTATTGAATTTCTCAAAAAAATGTGACAAATTGAAGGTGCTCATTCATGTATCAACTGGTAATTAGTACTCGTGACAAATTGAATTAGTAATATATATAAATAAATATATGTATGCATTGAAGATTAAAATTTGTGAAAAAATGATTTTTTTTTTCAGCATATGTATCTGGTGAAAAGGAGGGGTTAATATTGGAAAGCCCATTAAAAATGGGGGAAACACTGAATGGTACATCTGGGCTGGACGTTGACTTCGAGAAGAAGTTGGTCAACGACACTCTCAAAAAGCTTAAGGCAGACAATTGTTCAGATGATTTTATCAAATCATCCATGAAAGATTTGGGAATTCAAAGGTTTACATCTATTTACCGAAAAAAACCGTTTTGGTCCCTCAAGTTTGCATTTATTATACATTTGGTCCCTCAAGTTTGCATTGATTTAGCATTTGATCCCTCAAGTTTCACATATAGTCCCTTATGTTCACAAAAATCACATTTGGTCCCTCATAGTTCAAAAATTCAACATTTTCAGTCATTTTCATCAATTTTTCGTTAGTACTAACGGAATAAAGCATATGCCCATCACTTCCGTAACTGATGGAGTAACGGTAAACTGACGAAAATAACTAAAATGTTAAATTATTGAAACATGAGGGACTAGATGTATTTTTTGTGAACATGAGGGACCAAATGTAGAATAAGGGCAAACTTGAGGGGTGAAAACTTTAATTTTATAAAATAAATAATATTAATTATTCTTGCTCTGTTTATTTATCTAGAAAAAATAATGAATTCTGAATATAATTAATTAACAAACAGAGCAAGAACGTTTGGATGGCCAAATACATACGTATTCACGAAAGCAATGGGGGAGATGTTGTTAGGACAGCTAAAAGACAAAATAGCTGTCGTAATCATTCGTCCTTCCATTGTTACCAGCACTTACAAACAGCCCTTCTCTGGTTGGGCTGAAGGGGTCAGGTAACTTTTCTTTATTACCATTAAACCCTTTTTTTATATATATGGATATAAATTATAAAATAAAATGAAATAATATTGAAGTAATTGTTGGTAATAATATGTTGAAATTGACAGAACGATTGATAGCATAGCTGTTGGATATGGTAAAGGAAGATTAACATGTTTCCTTGGTGATCCCAAGACCGTAATTGATGCAGTAAGTTTCCGTTTTCATTAATTTCGAATTACCCCGATTTTGGTTCGATTTTTTTTTTTTTCCGATTATAGAACAATATTTTTATTTTTTTTCGAAAGGTCCTGTTATGTTTGGAACCGAATTTGAATATATAAGATTCCGATTTCAGATAATTATTTATTTTAATTAATTAATGCAGGTCCCGGCAGACATGGTGGTTAATGCAATGATAGCCGCCATCGTTGCACATGCAAACGACGATCAAGGAAACATAACGGTGTACCACGTCGGATCGTCCGTTTCGAACCCGTTTGAGTTAGGGTGGCTCCAAGATTACGGGCATCGATATTTCTCCAAGAACCCTTGGATCAATAAAGAAGGAAGGCCTGTCATTGTTGGCAAAATCAAAATCTTAAACTCAATGGATGCTTTCCATACATACTTAGCCATTCACTACTTACTCCCTTTGAAGGTAATTAATTAACTATATATATTATGCTCTAATTAATTAATAATCTTAAGGACCCGTTCGATTGAATTAATTATCTACTGACTAATTCGGTTCAATGAATTACATCTTGCATTAAATCTATTAAATTATGTTATTGTGTGTGATTTGTCTTTAAAAAAATCATTTAATTAAATTAACACGTAGTCTTTTACTAGTTTAATCAGCCCAATTGGACTAATCTCGGGTGCTACTGATTTAATTAAATAGTAACATTTAGTACCGAGCTTTGGAAAAATGAGAATCTTGTTAATTGAAGGTGCAACTAAACCCTAATATTTAGTCAGTATAACCTTATAGCAGTAACCAAACGAGCCATAAATATAATTCTAATTAACTCGTGTTTATATATATGTAATAATAATTCAGGGTCTGCAGTTAGTAAACATGGCTTGTTGCCAGTACTTCCAGGGAATTTATGTTGATCTGTGCAGAAAGATCAAGTACGTTATGAGGCTGGTCGAGCTTTATCGACCTTATTTGTTCTTCAAAGGATAGTAAGTACTTCTTTTTTTTTTTCTTTTTTTCTTTTTTTTAAATAATGAAAAAATTAACATATTTATTTATTTATTTAATTAATTTTTGCTGGAGCAGTTATGATGATATGAATTTAGAGAAGCTAAGAAGGGCAGTGAGAGAAAGTGGTGTGGAGAGAGATTTCTATTTTGACCCTAAAATAATTGACTGGGATGATTACTTCATGAACACTCACATCCCTGGAGCAGTAAAGTATGTGTTCAAATGAATTAAGTAATTTATTAATCTGCTTTATTTAATTTTGTATAATTAAGTTTCGTGTGGAAAATTTATATGTAATAATTTAATTTCTTTGATGAATTATTTTAATCGTTCTTTAGAAAAGCAGCTGGTGAAGATGTATCAAATGTTATTTATATTTTAAGTGAATCAATTTTTTTTAAGCTTCTTATAAAACTTCCCCTAGGGTATGGTTAATTTACGAAAAAATCCCTCTTGTTTGGAATATAATTACATCTACCCCTTTAACTATGATTTTTTTCCTACGCCTCCCCCATTATGGTGTCAAATTCAACATAATCATCTAGATTTCGTGGAATGTACTCGATCTAGTTGTACTCGTTTTGTGTAAACATAGAGTTTCTGATGCACCACAATATGATATATACAAGCCAAAAAACACATATTACGATCATCTAGCTTCAAATTGTGGAGCTCGAATAGGATAAAACGGGTACAAAAGTGATAATATTTCATATAATCTCGAAGATTACATTAAATTTGAAACCGCAATGATGGACATGTAAGAAGATTTATGGTTGAGGGTGGTGGTTGTAATCACCCAAACATGAGAGGGTTTTCGTAATTTAACTATACCTTAGGAGGTAGTTGTAATTTACCCGTGTTTAAATTGTATTCATGTGATGTTTGATATATATATATATATATATATATATATATATATATATATATATATATATATATATATATATATATATATATATATATATATATATATATATGATTGAATTATCTCATTAATTAATATGGAAGCCCTAAAGTATATGTATATTTTTTTTTATCTAATGCAAGTACAGTTAAACCTCTATAAATTAATACAGTTGAGATTTGGGACCATCAAAATTTCATTAATTTAGCAAAATATTAACTTATCGATAAATTAATAATTATTCATTTATACATTAATTAATTAATTATTAATTTATGAAAATAATTTTATTATTATTTTCAATAAATACATTTTTTTTAATTTTTTTTACTTGTATATTATTCATTGTACCATTAGTTCAATGCATTATAGAGCCCGTTTCACTAACAGAAGCTCTTACATCAGCAAGGTATAAAATAATTTTATGTTGAGTTATGAGAAAACTAAACCGAAAATTCTAACCATGTTAAGAAAAGTGAGGGACAAGATTGATGGTAATATAAACTTCAACAAGAAACAAGCAACAATTAAATTATATTGTATTAAGCTTTCATAAATCTATAAAATATGTACATATACCATGTAATTTAAGAATTATTTTCAGGCATTAATAATTTATATATTATATGGGGCTTCTTAAATTTTTCGAATGTGTAAGTAAAAATTTAGCGAATTATTAATTTAGCACGTTGTCCCCGAGTCAGAACCGGAAAAATTTATTATTTAAGCGAGATTATTAATTATCGGGTATTAATTTATCGAGATTCTACTGTACGAAAGCTAACTACTCACTGTGCTCCAGATTGGTAAATTTGCCCACTTATCAAGCATACCCTTACAAAATTAAGTTAAGTTACGAAAAAATCCAACGAACTTAGGCTAATTATAAAAAAATCCCCAACTAAGCATAATTATCAAAATTCCTCCGACGTTTATTTCCATCTTTCACCGGTGGATTTTTTATGGAATCTTTCTTATTTCAAGTAATTTCTCAAAAAATGTCAATTCTACCCCTACAGACGTTGTATTTCCTCATGCTACGTTTGTAAGGCAAAATTACCAATAGAGGGACTTTAATTACACAGAATCTTTACTTCTTAAATATCATATTCACAATTTTTTAGAAGTCATTACCCATATGGGTAATTTTTGTTTTTAAATAGTAGCATAAATAAATGTCACGTTACCATGGGTAGAATTGATATTTTTCGGGAAATATTAAGTGGCATAAAAAAAATTACGTGAAAAAATAAACCGTAAGAAGGTCGGTGTAAAACGAGAACATACGTCGGGGGTTTTGGTATTTACGGATATGTGGAAGTGTTTTTTCATAATTTAATCTAAATATATGGAGGGCTTCATAATTTACCCAAAAATTAAAGGAAAAAATTCATGTAAATTTTGTCGCCATTAATTGGTCAAAAAAAAAAAATATTGAACATGCAAATAACAATATATCACATTCAAGATTGTACCAAAAAATGCAACAAATGTTTGATTTCTACATGGAAACGTACCAACAAAAGTCGTAAAGTGAAATTTAAATGAAACACGATAACAGTTGGCAAGTATAATAATAATTTTGTTATAAATTAAATGTAAGTTGTCGGCATGTTATTTTGTCTCCCATTTAATTGGCCTCAACTACCAAATTAAATTTTTCTAGGATCAAAATAAATAGGACCATTAATCAAGAAACTTTCAGACCAATGTTTTCTTGGTCTATAATACTCCTTAATACTCCTTTCGTTCCTAAATAGATTGTCGTTTTTTCTTCTTCTTCTTCATATTTGCACAAATCGTAACAAACTTAATAAGTATATCTTGATTTAAAAAATATATATATTATTATACTAAAATACCATTGTTTACTAAGAATAGAACTGAAGGACAATCAATTTCTTGTTTCTATTTTCACCAAAAATTTGGAACTAATAAAGAAGGGAAAATGGAACCCACATATATACAAAACTTCCACCTAGGTATAATTATATTTTAATCGATTGAGTACTAAAACTGAAAGTACTTTGGGGATTTTTTTTTTGGATCTATTAATTATTATTTTTATTTTAATAATATATATGCCCTTACTTCTTTAGGGAAAAAGAACAAAATGTTTAATTATTTGTGCGACAAACTATGAAGTGCAAGAATCCACAATTGGTGTGATTTAATTTCACTTTTAATGTACCCGTCTGGCTAAACTTATTCTAAACAACTGATACGATCTTATATTTGATAAGTTGTTACGTCTATTGTTAGAATTAATTTTTAAAGTATTTAGATAATGATCTTATAAGCTATTTTTAGTCGTTATAAGATCTTATATATAAAAAAGTGAGTAAATGTATTTTTTTACTAAGTTCTTATTTGTTTTTTAACAGCTTATTTTTTTATTTTTATGATTTTTTGAATATCAGACACTTTGGGAGCGCTTATAAGCTCTCGTAAACAACTTATAGACTTATATTAGTTTACAGCTAGGATTTGATGGAAAGGTTCTATCATGAAAAGTAGCAAAAAATAAAATAAAATAATATATTTGATATAAAATATAATTATAGAATAAACGAGAGGTAAAAATTGAAGGGCCATGTTATTATCCTTTAGAGTGTGGGTAAGAACAATGTTATATATAAAAGCAGACAACTTAAGATGAGTCGGTTGAAGCAATTGACGTATTGTTTGCCGTCCATCATCTCACAACAACTGCCAAGAAATGCCAGCTGGCATTTATGACTTGTGATAAGTAGTATTTAAGGCGTTAATTTATGCATTATTAGTATTATATAATAATTTATTTCTTTATTATAATAATTAACACATGAAATACGAGATTGAGTTTTTTTGAGAGAGAATACAATCCGAAATCGATTGGATTAATTGTGATTATGCAGCAATTATATTATGTGTGTGGATTAGACTTGGACACTGGGGCTCATGTCAAAATAAATAATTAAATATTTAAAAAATTAGTTAATTTATAACACTTGCAATAAATATATATAAAAGACGTACGCTGAACTAATTAATAGGCCACCAAGAAAAATATCGTGACGAATAATGTAAACTAATCGTACCCTATTCCTACCAAACAGTGGGGCTATATATTATATATTGCAACCTGACTTGTATGTATATATATATATATATATAAGGGCATGCATGTGTAACTTCTGTGTATATATATATACATACACACTCTCTCTTGTACGTACGTGTAATAATATTAACACCCAAATTTAATTTTGCTGATTCATGCATCTGCATTCTTGTCAGAATATGGAAGAGACAACTCAAATTATTCAGTACTTTGAGGGCAAGACTATTTTCATTACCGGTGCCACTGGCTTTCTAGCAAAGGGTTAGTTATACCTCTCTCTCTCTCTCTCTCTCTCTCTCTCTCTCTCTCTCTCTCTCTCTCTCTCTCTCTCTCTCTCTCTCTCTCTCTCTCTCTCTCTCTCTCTCTCTCTCTCTCTCTCTCTCTCTCTCTCTCTCTCTCTCACATGTTTTAATTATCTGATATAATTCATTGCATGCAGTATTCTCTGAGAAGATACTTAGACTCCAACCGAATGTAAAGAAATTATTTCTTCTAATTAGGCCAACGGCTAAACAGTCGATTGAACAACGATTACATGAAGAGGTACGTACTTACGCAGTAGTAGTAGTAGTAGTACAAAACGAACCGATAATTAATACGTATATAAATATTTGATTCGACGAACGATTGTATATAATATAAATAGGTTGTGAATACGGAGCTATTTGGAGTTCTAAGAGAAGAGTTGGGAGATGAAGAATTCGACTCCACTATACGGTCGAAAGTTGTTCCGGTGTCGGGCGATGTGTCTCTTCAGAATTTAGGGATTGTTGACTCTCAATTTAGACAAGATTTGTGGCACCAAATTGACATTATTGTTAACTCAGCTGCAACAACCAAGTTTGATGAGAGGTATACTTTTAATTACCACTAATTAATTAATTTCATGTTTCATACTTCTCTGTCAAACTTAGAGTAATATTAATGTGTAATAAGTACCCATGTGTAATCATTATCTGCCAAAACTCCCCGTGATAAAATACTAACTAGCAAAAACTCCCCTGTATATTTTTTTTAAATAACTACTACACCCATTATGATTTTAGACATTGACTGAAAGTAAAAAGACAAGTATACCCTACAGTAAAATAGAATAAGATTAGATAACATGAAATATGGGGCAAAATTATAATTTTACTTAACTTGTAAAACTTAAATTAGGGGACTGAATTGCAATTTTCCCAAAAATAAAAAGAGAAAGGGGGAGTGAAGAGAGATTATGATGGTGGTGGTGGATGGGTTGTGGGGCAATTATGTCATTTCATAAGCAAAAATGAGCAAAAAATTGCACAAGCAACGAGTGGAACACGCGCTTTGCTCAAAGGGGGATTTTTTGCCTTTAACTTTTTTACATAGAGGAGTTTTTGCTAGTTATTTTATCACATGGGGTTTTTTGCAGATAAAGATTAAACAAGGGGTACTTTTTACACATTACTCGTCAAACTTATATATAATAAACACACAACAAAGTTTCATTAACTAATTAATTAATTAATTATATTTTGTGGGATAAATTAATGTAAAACCTCACGTGCGTATTTGTATATATTTCACCAAAAAAAAGTCCTACCGACACATCGAGAATTTAAAAAAAAATATCGAGTTGAAGAAGACTTACATAACTATTAACGAAAATGAGGATTACGTGCACGATAAATAAGACATTGGAATTTTACATAATAAAAAAAAATAAAAGTGATTTTTTTTTCTTCTTAAAATGTTTAAATGAGGTTATATATATGTTTGTTCACCTAACTTTTGAATTATTGTACGTAGACTAAAGTACTAAACATATATGATAATATTGTTGGTTCTCTACTTCTCTTATCCTACACTCAATAATAAAATAGATGGTTGCCAATATTTTTTTGCCACGTCATATATATATATGACATTTACATCAATTATTTATATATATCAAAATATTAATTATTAATTTCTTGTAATTAATAGATACGACGTAGCATTTGGAATCAATGCTTTGGGAGCCATGCATGTTCAACATTTTGCCAGAAAATGTTCTAAATTACAGATGCTTCTTCAAGTCTCCACGGGTACGTACTCTAGCTACTTAATTCCGAATTCCGATTATTTATTTATTTACCAAAATTAATTAATTATTTGGTACGAATTTACGGCATAGCTTACGTGCACGGCACAACGGTGGGACTGATACCAGAGAAGCCACTCCACATGGGTGAGACACTTGCGGGAGCTAAAATTACGCATTTAGACATCGACTCCGAGAAGAAGATAATTAACGAAACACTAACACGACTTCGTGCTCAGAAGCACACGGAGAAGGAAATCAACATAGCCATGAAGAATTTGGGCATCGAAAGGTTAAAATGACTATAATACCCTTCATTTTAATAATAATTACTCATGATTTTAATGAAATTAAAATTGTGTACGTTATCCATCAGAGCAATGTTGCATGGGTGGCCAAACACGTACGTGTTTACGAAGGCAATCGGAGAGATGCTGTTGGAGGGGTTCAAGGAAAAGGGCAATGTCGTAATTATACGTCCAACGATTATCACGAGTACTTACAGTGAGCCTTTCCCCGGTTGGACTGAGGGTCTCAGGTAACATTTAATTAATTATTTTAATACTTTTTTCGTTATTTATATTATATAATATAATATATAGTTATGTATCGATTAATTAGATCACACGCCAAATTAACTGATGATGTATTTCATGTAACAGAACTTTGGATAGCATCTTTGTTGCTTATGGTAAAGGCAATTTGAAATTCTTCCTAGGTGATCCGGAGTCAACGCCTGACTTGGTGAGATATACAGTTGACCAAAAAAAATTGATTTAATTTTAAGATTATTATACTTACCGAATTAAATAAATAAATTTCAAGAAATTAATATTGACATGCATGCATGCAGATACCAGGTGACATGGTGGTAAACTGCATGGTGGCGGCGATAGCATTGTCCCGTTCAATAGACGAAACAAAACACGATTTATATATATACCACGTCGGCTCGTCGAGGCAGAATCCGGTGAAATATTCGGAGGTGAAGTGGCTGATGCATCGCTATTTAACCGAAAACCCGCTTTTCGATAGCAGTACTGGGAAACCTATTAGGGTTGGTCAACCCATTACTTTGAATAGCATGTCCAGCTTCCACAACTATATTTCAACCCATTACTTGCCATTCCTCAAGGTAATTAATTATTTAATTTTTTTTAATTATTTAATTATTTATCTATTAATTATTATTTTTAATTTCTTCAGATATTGAAAATAATAAACATGATGTCATGCAACCATTTGGAAAGCATTTATAGCAAGGCGAGACGAAGCGTCGACAGCGCGCTGCGTCTAGCTGAGCTTTACAAGCCTTACTTGTTCTTCCAAGGAATGTATGTTCGTTAATCATTATATTCCTCGTCGTCCCACCATTTTTACGTTAATTAATTAAATGTTTATTATTTTTAATTGATTTTTTTTTTAATAACTCGCAGATTCGATGATGTTAATACTGAAAATCTGCGAAAGTTAATAAGAGGAAGAAGCGAAAAATTGAAAGAGGAGGATGTGCTTAATTTTGATCCCAAATGTATTCAGTGGGACGACTATTTTCTCAATACTCATTTCCGTGGCATCGCCAAATATGTGTTGAAAAAGTGATACATATATGTTATTTATTATTATTATGTAGTAAAATATTTAATGTGTGTGTGTTCAATTACTCTTGTATTATTATTGTTCCATTTATTAATGTTATTCATTATAAATTCACGATACTACACACGAATCATTGTTTTTTTTAATGAAAGATCCTGTAACCAACTACATAGGTGTATTGAGTAAATGTATTTATTTATTTTGTTACTAAGGATCGTGCATACTTTGATCATTTTCACGTACAAAAAAAAATTGAGTATCGAAATTGAAGACAAATGCGTGCGGTATATGAAAGGGAACTAGAAGGTAATTAATCCGCTTGGTGAAACAACTTAATTACTAGACAATTACTTTGTTGCAACTACTGATCGAGAAATCTAACTCGTGTCGAGACATTAACTATGTTTGCAACAATAATTCTTGTGTGAGTACTACTAAATTTAATTACTAAAAGCAAAAATAAAGAACACAAGAATTCAATGTAATTGGGACACAATTGTAAGAATAGATATATTTTGGGCCATACATACAAATACCAGCCCAATAGTATCAAAGACAAATAGGGTTTGGTCATGACAAAAAAAAAAAAAAAAAAAAAAAAGAGAAAAAAAGAAAAAACGAAAAAGAAAAAAAGAAAGAAACTTGAGTGGCAATTTGGTAATTCAGACCCCTGGTATGGAAGCGCGGGAAACATACCTCTAAACCCTCATTAGCCTCTCTCTCCTCCCTCCCCCAACCCGCTCCCTCGCTTTACTTTCTCTCTCTACAGATCTATCTCTACCTTCTAGTTCATAAATGCATTTTTCCCACTGAAATTATCACAATCCAGGGTAGAAAAACATGAATGGCGGCGATAATTGGAGAAGAGATCGGAGGGACACTCGGATTTCGAAGAAACAGAAGCTGATTCTAAGCGCGGAGGAGCAACTCGAGTCCAAACTCGGCTTCAATCTCTTCACCGAAGGGGATAAACGACTCGGCTGGTTACTCACTTTATCCGCGGCGAGTTTTCTCTTCCCCCTTCCCAATTTCCCCAATTCGTTCCTGAATTTATCTTTAATTTACTTGATTACCGCTGTTCTTTTTTTCTTTTCGTCTTTTGAAACTCGACTTGGTTTTCTCAAAACAGTCGTCGTGGGAGGATCAGGAGACTCATAAAGTGTACAGTTGCGTCGATCTGTATTTTGTATGCCAGGTAAAAATTTAACTGTTTATTATAGGAACCAGTGAAGTAGTTTCATTTCGAAGAAATTTGTTTGTTTATTAATTTTCTGATGAATGCTTTCATTGAAGGATGGCTCAATGTTTAAGGCAAAGTATAAGTTCCGGCCGTATTTTTACGTTGCCACCAAGGTAAGTAATACGGGCTCGAATGCGACAAATAGGATTGAACGATTGATTAAGAGCTCCCTCTTTCTCTCTGAATATTTGATTAGGTTTTGTTTAATGTGATTATAGGATAAAATGCAAATGGATGTTGAGGCGTACTTGAGAAGGCGTTATGAAGGCCAAGTTGCAGACATTGAAATTGTGGAGAAAGAAGATCTTGATCTGGTAAATGAAATCTAACCTTTGATATGTTTCTGTTCGATGTTAGTTTTTCTTTGGTAACTTACTCCATGGAGCTATAAATTATGCATAGAAATTTCTGCCAATTTTTCATAAGGAAATGCATACCAGATGCTATTTACTAGCTGCACCTTTTTTTTGCTTCATGTGTTATAATTGAATTATGGTTCAGTGAACTATGTGAACGAGAACAAGTTGTCTGAAATGGGACAGATGAGTTTTTGGTCATGATAGAAAATTAAGCTGGGGTTTACTGATCATAAAAAACTTGTTGAACTGATTTTTTGTCAATATGCTTCTATCATCTGGCTTGTTAGCACTAAGTATTTACCAGAAAATATCCTGAAACCATCATGTCCTGATGTATTTATCCATTTGTGACAGAAAAATCACCTTTCTGGGTTGAACAAATCTTATCTAAAGATATCTTTTGATACGGTTCAACAATTGATGCAAGTGAAGAATGAACTCATTCATGTTGTTGAAAGAAACCAGGCGAAGCTGGAAGCGGAAGATGCATATGAGTCCATATTGACGGGGAAAAGGTTACGCTTATCTTTTTCAGGCACTTCTATTCCTCAATTATTTACCCATTTTCAAAACTTGCATCACATTTTTATTTTTAATGAACATATATTAATGTTTATATATATATATATATATATATATATATATATATATATATATATATATATATATATATATATATATATATATATATATATATATATATATATATATATATATATATATATATATATATATATATATATATATATATATTTGTGTAACATTGATCTTATGCCTAAAGTTGCTAGAATGAATTTTCTGAATTTGAAGATCTTTTGATTGTGCAGCAAACAGCGACTTCAAGATTTCGTTGACTGTATTAATGATCTTCGCGAATTTGATGTACCTTATCATGTTCGCTTTGCTATTGACAAGGGTAATTCATTTCATTGTATTTCTTGATTTTTTATTTCTTGTTCTCCCTGTGAGTTCCTGAAGTACAAAGCATTCCATCTGTCTCATTCTCGAGTTCACATACTTCAGATATAAGATGTGGGCAGTGGTACGATGTAAGTGTATCCAGTGCTGGGACTACAGTGGAAAAAAGAACAGATCTGTTGCAACGCGCAGAAGTTCATGTCTGTGCTTTTGATATTGAGACCACAAAGCTTCCATTAAAATTTCCAGATGCTGAATATGATTCAGTCATGATGATTTCTTACATGGTTGATGGCCAAGGGTACCTCATCATTAATCGAGAGGTAACCAGAAAATACTAAGAATGTATCTTCTTAACAGTCATTAAATATCTGTCAATAATTATTTCTGGCTTCAATTCTTTTCCATGGATGTTTTGTCCTGGGTTAAGGAATTGCTTCTACTTGATATTTTTCTTGACATCTGGAACATAAATGTACATTTTGTTAGAGTTGGGGAGGGGTTATGATATTTGTCAGTAAAGAGAAACTATATTGTCACTGCAAGCAGGTGCAATTCTAAGAGAAACCTAATTGAATTATATTTTACTGAAACAATTGGTAAAACATGAATTTGCTATTCTATGCAAAAAAATAATGGTTGAAAATACCATGTAATTTGGTTGATAATGGTGTCTTCAAAAAAATTATCATTCTTCTATACTCTTTACCTCTTTAATAATATTTCTCTTACTTTTCATTTTTGCTCTTCTTTTTGGGTTTCTAGAGGTAGGAAGGTGGGTCATGGAGAAAGAAAAAGAGTTGGGTATCTCAAAAGTCTGTGTAATTTAGAAAAAAAGGTGTGTGGAAAGGACCCTAAAAGGAAAGTGCAGTTGCAGAGATATTTTAGTATAGGTATATTTGGACTCCTGTAAAAGTCACATATTGAGTTTCTTCTATCTATTGATATACAAAAACTTAGTTCTAATTTCTATGCAATGAGATCATTACTTTCAGAGATTAAATAAATGATAAATGAAAGGATACATAACTGCATTTTTTTTAATTTGATTATTGTTCATTCTTTAGAATTGATCTATTAAATTGAAGAGCGTCATGATAAATTATTGTTTAGAGTATTCATATCCAAGGTTAACCAAAATCTGGATTTAAATTGTTAAATCTTTAGATTCTTATGATTTTACTCCCTTACAAATAGTCAAATCGTAGTGAAATCGCAAGTCCCTTAAAATCGGTGGTAAAATCGCGATACTTTTGCGATTTTATCGCTTTCAATTTTAGTCAAAGTTTGGGCTGAAATTTCAAGTTTGGGCCTCAATCTCTGATTTTTTAACGAAAATTTAAAAATCCCATTACCAAATAAGCCCTAATTTGCCTTATACTAACATTTCTATTGCGATTTGGGAATATGATATTTTATTAGACTATGTTGAATTTATGTTCAAACATGTTTTGTTAGTGTTGGGATATTTTATTTTTGTTAGAACAGATTTTTTGCATGTTATGACTTGTTTTATTTGTGTTAGGAGATGTTTTCTAAGTACTAATATATATATATATATATATATATATATATATATATATATATATATATATATATATATATATATATATATATATATATATATATATA